TTTTTCCTCCAAGAGATCATATGCAGTTTTTGAATGGAGACTTGCCATTATTTTATAATAGCAATACAGGTCTCTCTAACATTTGACTCATATTGCACTTGTGATCTCCAATCTTCAGAGTCTTGGGCATTTTATTTAGGGAAAATTGCAATAGCGGTCCCAAACTTTTTTATTTTTTTGTAGACTTTACCCTAACCTTCATTTTTTTGTCGGCGAAGGTCCATAACCTTACATAAATATGCTCTTAAGGTTCATTTAGACGGAAATCGCCCAAAACACAGTCAGTTGACCGAAAAAATTAACGAATCAACATCCAATAAAATCGTCCAAAACACTGTTCAAAAACACCGTCAAAAAAGGTATCGGCATCCAATAAAATCGTTGCGGTAGCAGATAATTCAAGAAATTTTCCTGATCAATTGACGATGTTTTGAACGATTTCTGTCCAAATGAATCTCAGGTGCATATTTATGAAAGGTTTAGGGACTTTCGCTTGCACAAAATAAAAGTTGGAATAAAGTCTGTAAAAAATGAAAAAATTAGGGATAGCTACTGCAATTTTCCCTTTTACTTATGTTGCTTCGCTTGAATTTTTATAAAAAAATTATTGGCCCCTTCAATGATCAATATGTTAAAAATTCTAGCATATTTAAAGTTAATATGTGTATATATATATAATTGATAACATGGGCATTCACAACCTTTGGAATCTTTTCTCGAGCTAATCGCTTAGGTTTGACCAAAATGTAGTGATTACAAAGTTCCTAAAGTGATCGTACAATAGTATTATTTTTAAATGAAGAAAGTTAAAAATAATTCAGTAGATTTGTGTTATTTAAATGATCGGTTTTGTTATTTTTAAATGTTTTTTTGTGGCACCCCAAAAATGGATGGTATTTCTTTTTTCCAATGGAGTCCCCATATCGACATGATAAAAGTAAGTGCATTTTAGGTTAAAGCAAATGCTTAATTTATCTTAATGATATTTCTTGAGCGCCTTTTCATTAAAAAAATACATTTAATTTTGTCAATAATAACTGATTAATGAAATGTTGTCAATATATAAGACTTTTACTTTTGAATTTATAATTTTGTGATCCAAAAATTCGGGTTGGCTCTATAACCTTTCAAGTGGTGGTGTTACGAACTCTTCGACCTTCAAAAATAATATTTTGAATCCTTGATGTATTTAAATATTTTGAGTACATGAAGGAAATCCATTAAAATCGTGCCTGATTTTAAATTATTTAAAGCAAGAGAAACATATCATTAAGTGGTATGATGTTTCTATACTTCATCTTTTAATCACGTGAAAGTCACATGCGACTTTAATGTTCATGTTGACAATTTCCATAATGTAAGGACTAGTTTTGTATATTTAAATACATTGGGAATCTAAAACCTCAATTCTAAAGGTTAATGAACTATACCACAACACCCAAAAAGTTAAGAGGGCGTAATTCTAAATTCTCCTTTACTATCAGTGCACTACGTCTAAACAAATTAGTAGCAAACAGAAAACTATTACACAACACAATTTATTATTATTATTATTATTTTATATATTTTTTTTTTGTCTAGTATAGAGTAGGACGAAGAGAACAAAGGTATAAATGAAGTAACTCGATCGTGACAAACGAAAGTTAGAAGAATTTATAAATCTTTTATTGCCTTTAGACAATCTTCAAGATACACCAAATCGATAATTTTATTTCCTTTCTTTCACTGAAACAGACTGAAGAAAACAACGTTAAGTATCCAACAAACCGGACTTCCCCCATCAAACTCCATTGCGATGCATTCATAGGTTTAAGCAAGAAATTAGAAAGTTCTAAATCCTAAAAAGAGACATAAGGTTCCTAAAATTATTGCCCAAATAATTCAAACTATTTGTTTGAATTTGAATTTTCTAATAGAAGTTGCCCAAACAGTACAAAACCCAAGTATTATAAATATTAGTGGATGGACAAAAGAGGTTGAGAACCTTTGATTTTAATATATATTTTTCATGGTCGTCTACTTCAATGCTAAACCAAAGTAGTGAAAAAGCACATGTAGGCGTCTTAAAATTTAATAGAGAATAAGTTAAAACACTTTACTTTTAAGGCAAATAGTTGTAATCCCCTACTTCGAAGGATCAATAAGAACAACATACATATTCGAAAAAGTTACAAAAAATAAGACTTAGCTTATTTTTGTAATCCCCTAATTACTTGAAAGTAATTTTTCAACAAGTGGAATATTGCATTTCACAATGTAGTGAATGTTTGATATACATTATGGGATATTATGAAGAAATAATATTTTGATTTTTTCTTTACTAATACTGTTATTTACTATCTAACTTGATAGTCGAACGAGTTATCTAATATTTTTGAACTTAGATCCCCAAAACCTCACTTGGAGACTGTCATTAATAAAAGATGTTTATACATCTGAGTTGTACATATGTAGAAATTCTTCAAACCACATAGGTTTACCAATAATTTAAGGTAAATCTGATTTACGAAGGTCAAAGATTGCAGCTAGATTTATGGATTTATATAATAATAAAATCATAATCTTCGTTTAAAAAAAATTATCTTTACTCGAACCCCAATATCAATCAAAACAAAGCAGTAGCTCGTGTGGGAATTTGCTTTAATTTCCCTTCAATACTTTAACCACTGTTTGCAATTAGGTTACTAAATACAGAAATAATTCTGATTAAATATTCCAAATCACTTGTCACGCACTTCACAACGGATCGACCTTAAACGAAGCATGCTAACAAAGTAAAATTCTTAATTAATAATTTATGATATTATGTGGAAGCATCTTGGAGAAATCTTATTTCATATATATATATATATATATATATAATTGCTTTGTAAGTGGTATTGAATATAATTGAATTGTATAATGAACAAGAATTGAACTTATTTGTCATATTTAATAATATTCGATGTTATTTAATCCTCATTACAACATGTCATTGATGTTATATGGTATTTAGGTTTGATTGACGAACAGAACAAGAATGTCGGATGAAGAAGAGAAACGTGTGAATGCCTGTCAATTATTTTATACAGTACGAGAGTGCACTCTGCACTTGTCACCTTAGGAGAAATAGATCAAAAAAATTGAGTGCACTCTGCACTTGTCACCTTAGAAAAAAAGTTAAAAAAAGGGGGTAATTAGCACGAAATGTCCCTACCTTTCATGATTTTTGTGGGAAATGTCTCTACCTTTTGTTTTTTGGTGCATTTCATCCCTACCTTTACATTTTCCTGTGCACGACATCATTTTTCTCAATAAAAGGCTATAAAATGATCAATATACCCTTCTACTTAAATTTTTTTTGAAAAAATAAAGAACTAATTGCAATCATAGTTCCAAATTTAAAAAAAAAAAGTTCAAAAGAGTCTCAATCAAAAATCATGAAAGGTAGGAACGTTTCGTGCTAATTACCCAAAAAAAAAATTACTTAAAGAAGTCTTAATCCACTAAATTCTTGGCCTATATAGTCCACGTTTGTCAAACATAGCTTAATTAGGTTCACATTTGGGAAGAATATACACACGGTTAAATTTATAAATAAATAAAAATGAGTGGTATGTAAGTAGGCAATCTCTATGATCATCTAAATATGTGATTGAAAATAAAATTTGATCAATTATAAATAATTTATAAATTTTGCCAAATAAATTAGCGTTATGATATTTACATAAGATGGACAATTTTCTTACATTTATTGAGACAACTAATTTAATTAAAATGCTGGCGTTCTTTAAGAAAAAAGGTCAATTCTTTATTATCTTTGGAGTATAGTTTTGCTTCAAGAAAATATTTTCTTCTAACGACTCTTGGCCTGCAAGATATTTAAAGCGATGAACTGGTAAAATCATTTCTCCATATGGTTTAAAGAACTCATTTTATTAGATATTGAAGCATTTTTAGACGAGGTAGAATACGTCTCTTATTGTTTTGTTTCTAGAAATGGGGATACGAGTATTTACTATCTTGCCTGTTTTGATTCTAATAATTTCTAGATCGATTTTTATTAAGTCGATGGTGCTCTACTGCTCTACATTTTATTATTTATTAATTATTAACAACGATTGTTCTTGATATCTTCTCCTATTTTGAAGTTAAAAAATATATATATTATATTTCATATATATAAAATAACCAATCACCTATATATAATAATATTACATATGAAATTACAATATAGAAAAAAATTGAATTCATAGTTGAAAAATTATAAAATTATAGCATTGCTAGAGCTAGATAAATAAATAATCTAGAAGTTATTTATTTAAGTAGTTTTATCAAATATATAAATGGGTCAATGCTTGCATAGTATGGATTGAGATAATCTTGTCAACAATATATTTTCAAGTATATAATTTATTTTTTCGACTTCCATAATTCAAATATATGGAAAAAGACAAATGTCTCGATACATTCAACCAATTAAGGGTCTCAGTGGTTATGTCAATGGGACAGATAAGGTGTTAAAAGAGTCGATGAAATCATAAAAGAATTATTATTATTATTATTATTTAAGTTCGAATTACGATGACATATAAACCATTATTTATCATAAATAGAAAGTATTAAATGCGAAAGATACGAGTGAGATCATTAAAATAAAAGTATTCATATATTATAAGATAAAATATATGCGAGTTATGTTTTAGTTAATCAAAAAGTTGACCATGTCTAATACCCCCACGCGTGCTACTCTACATCATAGAACCTTTGACATCTAGCCACGTGGCAATATCACTGATAGCTAAGCAAAATTGATGACTTTCATGTAGTAACCATGCTATGAATAATACTATAATATTATTATTGTACACCATTATGGTCTAGAAAATAATGTAATTTGAAAACTCCAATAATTTGTACAATGTGTCACCTCGTGTAAATGAGTCATATGAATATTAAACATCGTGATGCGTGGGGTAGGGGTGGGGTGGGGTGGGTTGGGTGATGGTTTACTTTGAGAGAGACCTATTTTTACCACCTTCAAGGGACCATTGGTCTAGTTCACTTATCTCTCTTATAATTCTTCATCTTCTAGTACTCTGCATTAGTACTTTCTTCAGAAATAAGTACAATTAGATGGGGAATTGCCAGACTGTGGATGCTGCAGCATTAGTTATACAACATCCTAATGGAAAACAAGAGAGGATGTATTGGCCAGTGACGGCTAGTGAGGTGATGAAAATGAATCCAGGACACTATGTTTCACTGATAATTCCATTGCCGATCGCCGGAGAAGAGAATTCTCATGAAAAAACTGTTCGATATACCAGTGTTAAGCTTCTCCGGCCAAGTGATACATTAGTTCTTGGCCGGGCTTATCGGCTTGTCACCACGCAAGGTTGGTACTCGTCCAGCTTCTTCCTCAGTTCTTTCATTATTTTAAGAAAACCCGCTAACAGTGACGGAGTTTTTTTCCCACATTTTATGAAAACAACTAATAATTGGGTTTTTTTGTGCTAGTTAATAGGCTTATTTTTAATTAAACCTTGTTATTTTGTGATTAAAATTTTTGAGTTATAAATTGAATTTGTTGCAGAGGTTATGAAAGTGCTGAGAGCAAAGAAATATGAAAAGATGAAGAAAAACTTGCCAGAATCAGCTGCCAATTTGAAGATGAATTTGCTAAAGCAGAGTTCTGGTTGCGACTCCGAAGCTGGAAAATCTGCACAGAGGAAGAATGATCAGGTAATTTTTTAGCCATCGATTGATCATTTGTAAGGTCCACTCTACATTGTGAAACGAAGTTAAAATTTTGTCCTATGAAGCATTTCTTTTCAAGGATACTTATGAATGAAATTTGACAATTTTAGGGCATGGGACATGACAGACAACGGAAAAGGTCAGGCATGAATGTCTCAGCTGCAAAGTCCAAATCATGGCAGCCATCCCTCATAAGCATTTCTGAGTCGGGAAGTAGTATTGGATAAGACTGAACAGTATAATTGACAAGTTTGTCAACTTATTTTTCTTTCTTGATATTGTTGTGTCCACTTCCCTACTAAACGTGCCACAAGTGAAATCCTCGGAAAAAGATGCTTTTGTGGGCAAGAATGTTACTTCTTGTACATGTAAACGAAAAGACTATCAAAGTAGAAACTATGAATAATACAGTCAAAAATTGCAATATGTTAACACATTTTCACTCGTTTTCTCGACTGATTAATCAACAAGATATCCGGGAGATCAGCTGGCCATCGGTTGCGTAATTTGTAATTCTGTTGAACCCAGAATAATTGAACTGTGCAGGAAGGTTTTTCTTCTCAAGACTACCAATTCACCTTTTTAAGATGGTTAAAAGACCTATGAGATATAAATGCTCACCCTAATAATCTAGACGCTTTTCATTTAAGTTAAGATTTGCAAATTTAAGTTCACTCTAGCTAGCCAATTATCCAAAGATAACACCTCTCTCGATCTTACTATTAGATTAGGAAACACATTTTCCTTTTCTACGAGGAAACAAGGATGATAAAAAGCGACTATTACTTTTTGAAAGTTTAAGCACTGAGATACTCTACACAAAATATCTTTTAGCGGTGAATTAGTACTACTGTAAATACTATGCACGACGCCTTACTTGAAGTCTAAACGACTGGACCCAACTCCCCAACCTATTTTCCATAGTGTGGCTAATTACTTGGACTTTCAAAAAGCAATAGCTGCATTATCGAATCCAAATTCTCGTCTAAAATTGCTTCTACGAATTTGAATTTTTTGTCCAATGAATTTTAGTTAGATACTCATAGTGCATCATCGAAATTTTACCGTGAAAACATTTGCTTAAATCTTCAAATCATCAACTACGCAAGTTTGCGGTAGTAGTGACTAATGGATGAAATGGTCCGCCCTTAAATCACTTAAATGGACCAGCTTAACATCAAAGGTAATTGATGCAAGCAGCACTAGTAAATAAAACATTAGCATTTTGTTAGGATCTTATTTTTAGTTTTAAGAAATTTATTTTATTAGTACTTTAAAAAAAATAAAAAAATTGTAGGGTTTATTGTTGCTTCTTCAGAAATCATTACTTTGGAAGGTTTGGGTTTCCTCGAGTTAATTTGAACCCTATTGTCTAAAAAAAACACATTTTTCAAACTCATTTTTTATCACATTCTTCTAAAAAAATAATTTTGCACATAAAGTTCTTCCTACATTTTAACCACGCGTTCTCCAAAAAATCACTATTACAAAACTCATTTTTTCCTAAAAACATAAAACTCAAACAGAGCCCTAATCTTTTTTCTTTCTTATTTCATTTTGATTTTTCTCATTATGAATGGTCTATATACATATTACCCGGTTAAAGAAGGTTGACCTTTCAAGAAGAATAAATAGAAAATAATAGTCTCAACCTATAGTGGACTATGTACATGTAATGTTGAGAATAAGGCATCAAATATATACACTTAGTGTGTTTGTTCAAGCACGAATAGAACGATCTAAAGGGTTATGCAACCTAGAGAGATGGTCATATCTCTTTGATGAATGTGGTATCGAGGTTCGGTTCATTTGGAAAAGATCGAATGGTTGAATTTATGACTTCGCTTTGATCTCTTCGACTGAACGTAAAGGAGACTTCTATCATTCAACTTTAGCTTCTAAATGAATTATGTCACTTGGAATTTCGGAAAAATGAATCTTCTCTTTTAGATCCTGGCCTCAGTAGAACTTGTCTTTGATTGGGATTTCGATTGAAAAGATGTTAGGTCGGTTCCTCATGTGAAGATGTAGTTTTATCGATGCTTGACATGCCATGAATCCACTTGAAAGGGGTTGCCTTTAGAAACACTGGCAGACCCACAATGGGTCCTGGTGGGTCACTTGACCCACCAATTTAAAATTGATTTTTTTTTTTTTTGGTTCCTCAGAAATCAGATTTAAAGGCTTAAGAAATTATTTCTTTTTGATGATTTCTTTTGTATTTTCTTATGGAATGGAATTGTGGATTTCCTTAAGTGCTCCAAATTATATCTTGTTTTGGCGATTTTATGGTAAAGGAATCTTACTGTGATTTTAATCTTTGTTTGAATTGAAATACAGTTGATAATGTAACATTCAGAATTTGCTATAATTTTAGTATTTTTCACTTGAATTGATTGTTTTCATTAATTGTGATGGAAAAATAATATAAATGTAAATATGCTTTTTCTTTTGATGATCACAATGTTAATGAAAAGATTATTCGAGATTAAAGTAAACAAACTTGATGATGTTTGAGATAAATGTAAATTTGTATTCTTTGCAAGTTTGATTGTACCCCACAAACTGAAAATGTCTACGTTCGTCAGTGTTTAAAAATGCGATTAACAGTTTGTTTGATGAGCTTGCATAGTATTATTTAGTTGATCGTGTAAGGACTGATCAAGCCTGAGTCTAAGTGGTATAGTTTTGGATAAGACAGATGTGTTCTATGTGACAGAAACCACACGAACATTGTAAAATGGTTGATGTTTTGCGTGTAAAATTAATCAGTGGAGTTGAAAGTGTTAATAAGCTCATATGTATAGCAATTCAACTGCATTACGTTGTAATAAAGATCCGTTTGATTGCAATAATGAAATTTGGCTAGAAAGAAAACGAATTCTAAATAATTGAATTGTCTAAAATTTGTTTTACTGGAAATTGTCAATCAAATGTATTTAATTGGTATTATTTTTCACCTGAAAAATGTTAAAATCATTTGGCTTTGTTTTTCATGAAAATTGTCAGTTAAAGGGATCAAATTTGTTACAATTATGGATAAAATGTGTTTTCATTGCCCAAAAAAAGGATATATGGAAAACCCAATTCCGACCAAAACCAAAGGAAATTGAATTCCTTAAAAACCAAGAAAATTGGTCATGTGAGGAGGGAATTGGAATTCCATGGAAATTTTTTGCCATCAAACATGCATTTTTGGATGGAGATGAAAAATATTTTTCATGGAAAATCAAGCCTATCAAACAGACCCTTATATTCCAAAAAGCTACCATCCATTAAAAAAAAATCAAGTATACAATGTTATCCGTCTTGAACTAAGGTGTTCAAACATGTGTGTATATAAATTTATATGTAGGTTGTGCATTTTAAATATTTTATACATTGACAAGTTTTTAATTTTATAGTAATATTCATTTATCAAGAAAACAATGACATGTTGGAATGTAACAATGACACGTAGGATTTTAGGTTAACATTTCTGGTCGAGTGATCATTAGTATATCATTTAGATATTAAAGTGACTACTACTGTAAAAAATTACTTAAATGATCATTTTTGAAATTTTTAACAACTTCAATTACCGTTGCAAAATCAATCCATTGAATTATTTTTGTGTACGACTAATGTTGATACAAAAATTTTCCATGTTTGCACTATATTTAATTACGATTATATGTTCTTACTTAAATCAAGAAAGCAATTAATTCAATTGCTGTTTATGAAAGTCCCCACCTAAATGTTAATCAAATTCTCTCTATATCCAATATATTGAGTTTTACACATCCAAACAAGAAAATGTCTTTTAAAATCAAGGAATAATCACTCATTTTTTAAAGTTATGCATGTCGTGTATAAAAATCTACATATACCATGTTTCATTCTCATTTCTCCTTTTCAATAAGTTGAACGTTTATATAAACTAACATTTAAGAGTTTATTTCTTTCACTCTTCCACGAACTCTTATCGCATAAAAATGACTTTAAACATGAATAACCATATCGAAGGTAGACCTTAAGCTTAGCGAATGAAGAATTATATACGTGTCTTAAATTGTTTGGGTGGAAATCTAAGGGGATATATTTAATTGAAACTTTTAAAAACTTATAAAATTTAAAGATATTCAATGTAGAATAAAGATTTTTATAAACTTCTAGAAAGTATTCAAAATTCTCAATGTATTTAGTAAATTTTTTTTTTTTTAAATCTCTATAACTTACGTGTATTCAAAATGTCAATTACTTTTAAAGACATTTATTTAAGTCTTTAGGGTACTAATTTTTAAATAGAAAGTACAAATATAAAATCTCAAAATTTGTCTCTCATTTACCCCAAAATTCTAGGAGTCATTCGTAAAAGAATTTTTTTATTTATATGTATTTTCTATCTTTCAATATTTATCTTTTTCTTTCCTTCTACTAATCTTAGAGTCATGATTAAAAAATTAATATTATTTCTTTTACCGTTTGTATTTGTTATCTTGTTCCTCTCTCTCTCTCTCTCTCTCTCTCTCTTTTTGTTTCTCTCCATTTTCTATTGCAAAAAAGATTAAAATGTAATTTCCCAGAAGTGGTGCTTCAATGTAGGCAGAATAATGAAACCGTCAAACCACAAAATCAAACCAAAACCATTTTTCTGAAACCATTGATTTGGTTCAACTTGGATCCATCAATGTTTTGGTTTTGAATCGAACCAAACCGTTTTGAAGTGGTTTGGTTTAAGTTTCAATCGAAGTGGTTTGGTTTAAATTTCAATCTTTGCAAACCGTTTATCAAAAAAAAATTGAAAATAATAGTCTGAATTTTATTTAACTCAATTCAAACATTACACATTTCAGTTAAAAAGATAAATCCATATTAGGCATAATTCAATTAAACTCAATTCAACAATTGCACGTTTCAATTAATTAATTAAATAATATCCAAATAACATTAGTCATCACAACTGTGAATGTAAAATCCTCAAATTGAGGAAAGTGTTGAACAACTGTTGTTAAATCATATTAGTCGATCCTCCATTACAATTAAATATAGATTTTAATTCAAACTTACACATTTCATTTCCTTTTATTAATAATTTTCTCAAATTTTGCCTAAATTCAAGTGAGATAATCCAAATTCTTCTATTTTTTGGTAACTTTTTCTATGTTTTTATTAGTACTTATGTTGTTTTATTCTAACAATTGTCCGGCTCCCTTAAAGTAATTCGCTAATATTTGGATGGAATAAAAGCATTGAATGATTAACAAAAAATCACAGTAGCTAGATATTATCATATTTGAAATTTTTATTATTTATTTTATATCATTTAACATATAATAAATGAATTTATGTACTATATTTTTATATTTATGAAGAGAATGGAATGTGTATTACAATTGCAGATGGACACCATGAACATCGACTATGGGTTTAAAATATTTATATCATATTGTTGCATTATAATGATTATAACTATGTAACTTTGATTTTTAATTTTATAATAATACAATTTATATTTTAACGTGAAATTTTATGCTAATATTTATGATTTAGTTTATTTGATATATATTTAGCCCTTATTTGAGCCTCATTATTTCTCTTAGAATGCATTTTTGAATAGTATATTGATGAAAAATGTGTAGTAAAAAAAAAAGAAAAATTTTGAATTTAAGTGTAGTATTATTTTATTGAAAATTGTGTGGTTAAAATAATGTCAAATCACTATTAAAAATGTATTTTTTTTGAAAAAATGTGGCTCAAACATAGCCTTAATTTTTTCATTATTAAACCATGGTTTTAATTCGAACCAAACCAAAAAAAAATGGTTTGTGTTGGTTTGATTTAGAAATTGAAGTAGTTTGGTTTGGTTTGAAAAAACAAACCACTTTAAATTGTTTTGTTTGAAAATTTGTCTCAAACCGAACCATGTTCACCCTTACTTCAATGTGCATTAAGTTGGACAAATCGACTTCTTCATATAATGGTTTGGTTTCTGAAGGACCCTCCTAATCTCCTCCGGAGGTCGCTTCCTTGAATCCGAACTAGAAGAATGAGGTTTTTATCCTTGACTTTCTTCCGACTCGATCTTCCTTTTGAATGGTGGGAGAAAGATTAGGGAGACAAAAGAGAAAGGGAGACAAATCTAACTCTTTGGGAAAATTCAAATAGAAGTAACGAATAAGCACGGAGAATAGAGCGAAGGAATTAAGTAGCGTTTTTTTTTTTTTTTTTTTTTTTTTTTTTTTTTTTTTTTTTTTTTGCATTTGCATCCAATTTTTTATGTAAAAGATTATTTTGTAATTAAAATTTATAAAACTTTATATAAAAAGAATGATTTGTAATTAAACTTTAACTATATTAATTGGTTTTTTATTTTTTAAAGGTCTAACAAATTGATAATACTAAATATTAGATATTTTTTAGTATTATCAAAAATTACTAAAACATTGTGTGTGTGCGCGCGCGTGCATGTGTGTGTAGTTTGATTAATTAATTATCTTTTCGAGAATGCTTAATTTTTTTATTCTTCAAAATATAGTTTTCATTACACTAGTGAGGGAGAGTGAATGAGCATTGATCCTTTGCCTCTTATGGTGGAACTTCCAATTGTGCTAGATTCAAGTGAATTATATTTTAAAATGAAAATCTTCAAAATGTCATATGAATTCTACAAAAGTTTTAAAATGAAAATCTATGAGAGCTTGCTTGGGAGTTTCAACGTACAAGTTATGAGTATCAATTTTGAATGTTTATGAGTGGATCAATTTTTAGTAGCAATTTTTAAAACTGTCGAAACTATACTTGGGTCTTTATTATTCACCGATTACGAAAGTTTTTTTAAAACATAAAATTATATATATATATTCCTTAGCAAAGTTTTTAGCTTATAGTTTCTTATATGAGATTTTTTTACTCGTAAATGATATTTTTCTTATCAATATTTTTTTTACATATAAGTTAATATTTAACTTAAAAAATTAAATAAACTTAAATATTTACTTAAAAAATTTGAAGTGGATATTTTTACTTATAAGTGATTTTTAATTATAATATATTTTTTCTTATCTTATAATTAATATTTTACTTATAAGTAATTTTTAATTATAATGTAATTTTTCTTATCTTATAAGCAATGTTTTACTTATAAGTATTTTTAATTATAATTTTTTTTTGCCTATAAATAATTTTTTGGTTAATTAAGTTAGTTTTAAAGGAAATATGTTGGTTGAAAAAAATTATTTTATAGAGGATAAAATTATAAGAGGATGTGAGAAATGATCAAATCTCGGATCGATTTGGTGGGTTGAAAGAACCGGACAAAATTACATTACACTTATTTTGGGTAATTTTTAAACCATCCGAAAGATTTCAATTAATTCAATACAAATTTATAGAAGTCCACAAATTTTTTCTCCAAAAAATAAAGGTCTATCACTTAGCCTCTATTTGACCCTCATTTTGTGAAAAAATTAATGGGTAGAATAATGTTATTTTGAAAAATGAGTGGTTGAAAAAAAATGAAAAGTTTTCGATTTAAGTATAATATTATTTTATGGAAGTTTGTGTGGTTGAAAATAAAAGAGAGAAAAATGAAATATAATATAATAAAATTTAATAGGTTCCAAACGAGGGCTTAATAAAAGTATAAACATATTTTCAAAAGTTTTAATTGAATACTCCTTAAAAGTCATTAAAAAAAATATATGGAATTTTTTACCGAAAAGGAAAATTATATATATATATATATATATATATATATATATATATATATATATATATGAGAATATATTTATTTTTTGCCAGGATCACCACTCTCAAAGCATGTAACCTGACCGTGAATTTACGCTTGACTCCACTCGCAAATTCAGAATTTGGAATATTGAAAATTTGTTCCTTATATATATATATATATATATATATATATATATATATTAGGAAATGTTAATCATTGTTTTTATTTGCACAATTGTTCTTTATTACCAATTCGAAGGAGAAAATTATGTACTTGTTTAATTCGTTTATAGGTGTCTATAAGTAACGGTTCTACAAACGTGTGAATAATAAACTCAGCCAAACGTGCACACAACAGGTAAAATTAAGAAAATAATAAACCAATCCGGACCACACACGGCTGGCTGTAAGCCTGTGACTCGAAAATAGAAAAGTTATTTTCCCCGGTTTCATCCCACTCATACCTAACCCACCCACTCCACCACTCACCTATCCCTTACCCTGCACTTACCCACGCACCTACCCACCCACGACGCACACACTCGTAAAGAGCTCTGCTATTTTCCGAAAGTTATTTTTTTAACTATTTTGAAGGTACGTTCATATTCACTGAATTTCTGATTTCTGTATTTACATGATTTTTCGTTTTCTAATTTTCTTAATTACTCTACTTTTTAAGAAAAATATGGGTTCTTTGCACTTTTTTTTTTTTAAATTTCAGTTGAATTTTGTAAAACTGATTGAAAGGCTGGAGCTTTTGCATCTTTTTGTTGCTAAACGTCATGAAATAAATAAACAAAAAAATAAACTAAATTATGCGTGCATGTTCAATTGTTTGATCTATCAAAACAAATATTTAATGGAGTAGTGAAAATTAAGATGTAGTGTATGAAAAGAGGAGAGAAGGATATAGGTTATTGTGATCAATAAAGATTGGAACTTGGGAAGATAAAGAATAGGAAAGGGCTTAATATACTTTTAAATAATTCTGTTTTGAGCTTATTTTAGCCATTTTCATTATCTACGAAATAAATTGAATAAAATTTTTGAGGATAGAGGCATTGCTTAATGGAAAAATTGAATATTTAGTAAGAGTTAAGATTCCCCTCTTTCCCTTTGATTTTTTACTGTGGGAATGTGTTTACGAATAGAAACTAAATTCTTTATGAGTAGTATCATGCATATTTTCAGCTATATGATTGAGCATCGCCTTTGCTGGTCCAGTTTACAGGCGTTCTCCATCAAAATTATGTTTCTGACAAGTGGTTATAGACCTTTAATCTGGAAATTTTGTTGAAACAATTTCAAGTTCAGAACTAGTCACCGGGAATTCTCTTGGAGATAGACAGATAGTTATTGTAAGTGAAATTTTTATCCTGAACCAGTAATGAAGGACGGGGAAGCATTCTTTGCTGTTCGGAAAGGTGACCTCATTGGTGTTTACAAGAACTTAACCGATTGTCAGGCTCAAGTTGGATCCTCGGTAGTGTGATTCTACAAATTTTGATATGTGAATTCCTATATTTTTCTTTCATACGTCAATTCATTCTCTTATTGTTGATTCATAAAACTTTTTTGAACCACAGGGGGTATCAGACTATCTTTTTACGTATTGTTGCAAATCCTTTTTACTTTCATATATTCTTTTTTCACGTTTTTCAGTTCCCACCAGCTTGTATACTGCTGGAAACATCTTTTATTTAGTCTTTTGAATTGGGTGGCTTTCTTTCTTCGAATACAAGCAGTGGATGTATATAAATTGGGATCCTTTAGCCCTTTGTCTTCCCTTGTAATATAGGGATAAACAAATAAAATAAAGGTGAAGAAATGTTAAGAAGATTTTGTTGTTACTTTTAATTCTTAATTTTAGTCACTCGCACTTCAATTTAATGTCATCAACATAAGTTTCTTTTGTGTGCAAATTCCCTGAATTTTATATTAGTTTAGTATAAGCACATCACAACACTTTCACATGGAAACAATGTTTAGCTATCTGACGATATCACTCTTTTTGGTAATTTAGTTCATCTACTATTATTCAAATGAATAATATTAATTACCTTTTTGTTGACATATGCCATGAATCATGACCTAGACATTGAGGGAAAAGGAAGAAAACTGATACATTTATCAGTTCTCTTCTTTTTCCTCAATATTAGGTTCTTTGACTGGCCATTTCTTCTCAACTTCGTTATTAAGATACAAGCACCAGTACGGTGAAGACTCCCTCCTTTCGTACCTTTATACATTTGCTAATCTCGTCTACTCTTGTTTTTGTGTTCCCATAGGGGAGGGTGAGTTATGACAACTGTTTACTGGCCTAATGAAAATGTAGATCATTTGTAATGCATTACCATTTGTATTTTCGCTACCGTGTGTCATCATCTATCTATTGGGAGATCTCAATGGGCACTACATGTGATATCACTTTGATATGTGATGCATTTCTTTTTCTCAATTTTAAGTGTCTTCAGGAAAAAGGAAAAAGAAAAAGAATAGTGTTTTTCTCACAGCGAAATTGTATAATTGCAGGGCATTAATCAATTTATTTGCGGGTTATGCTACAAAAACATAAGGATTTACCTAATGGTTTACCGAACCACAGCCGCCCCTCCAATAGGGGGCCAACACTTGTCAATTCGGTAAAACATTAGGTAAACTATTTGGTACAAATAGATTAATCCTTTATTTGCCATCTATCTTTTCTTACCAGATTTGTGATCCTCCTGTCAGCGTGTATAAAGGTTGCTCCATCCCAAAAAATACAGAGAAATATCTTCTTTCATGTGGGCTTAAAAATGCTCTTTATTCAATCAGAGCTTCTGATCTAACCGAAGAACTTTTTGGCACTCTTGCGCCATGCTCTGTTCAGGTTAGATGATTTATGCATATTCGTGATGGAATTTTTTTCTATCCATTATTTTTTTGGGAAATATCTCAGTTGCGCGTGCATTGAAGATTTTCCGAAAAATAAAAATAAAAAATAAAAACTTGTGCGGCTTTTAAGGAAACTCTAAGTGATTTCCCATTGGAGTCTTTGATGTAGGGATTCGTAGTACTTACAATTCTACATATTTGATATCCCTTATCACAACCATGATAGTGTGCATTAATCATAATTGAGTACAATAATTTGTTATTGGAAGATGACAAGAATCTAGATTTGAGAAAATTGATCTCCCACGTTAATTGTGCTTATCTCTGGGATTAACTTGTACTACTTTGTTTGCTCTGTTATCTAATGCTTTGGCAGTATTGTTGTGTTTTTTGAAAACAAAAAGTAAAAGCTAATCTGACAAATATTGTGTTTGGATTTGATTTATACATGGGATATGTTTTCATTTATAAGAATCTTCATTTTTCTTACAGCAACTTGCTGCTTCTAGAGGTGAAACATCTAGTGAGCCTATAACAAAAAAGAGGTCACAGGAAGTTATGTGGTCAGATTATGGGGTAAGTTGGCTATTATCTAGTTATGCGATCAATTTCAGTCGATACATTCAATATTTCTACTTCAAATTTGTGCTGGCATCAATATATGTTGATGCATATCAGGTTTGGAAACGCAAACTGCTTCCATAAGAAGAAACTACACAAAGAAGATATATTAAGATTATTTTTTTACGATTGCCTCTTTCAAATTCCATTTTTTTTAATTATTATTATTATTTTTTTTTTTTGAGGTGGGGGGTTGGTGGCGGTGGTGATGCTGGTTAAAGAATAAATTCAATGTTAGTAATTTCAAACCATACCCCCCAGCCAACAAAATGAAAAAAAGAATAAGGACAAAGCCCTCTGATTAAATATAAGCATCTTAAATGTGAAAGAAGTTATCAATACATATAAGAGTTGTCTTCTACTCCATCATTTCGTGTGAGTGGTCAATGGTGATAATCATAGAGCGAATACATTTTTGTTTGGTTGTTTGTTAAATGAGAGCTACCCACACCAAAAAATTCTTAAGTTCGACTGGGTTGATGATTTAAAACTCTACGTTAATGACATCTTTGTACTGAGGATTAAATAGCGCTGGACAATGTAAAGGGAAAAAAAGAAATAAAATATGTTGATTATACTCTCTAGTCTCGCCTTGTGGTATCCCATCAGATTTGAGTGATGAGAATCTAAAATGTGTTTTTATAACATGGTCTGCTGAAAACCTGATAGTCATCATCATTAGCAGCACTCTTGTACTCTTGAGTTTGATGGTGCTTCGAAAGGAAATCCTGGACAATCTGGAGCTGGAGCTGTACTACGATCTGATGATGGACTTTGGGTAAATTTTGTGCTTATTACATATTTTGTATATTTTGTCTCTCCAGTTTCGTAATTTCTATCTTCAACCAATTTTAAATCTTAGATTTGTAGGTTACGTGAAGGTTTAGGCGTAGCAACCACTAGTGTTGCGGAATATCGAGGTATCATTTTAGGGTTGAAATATGCGCTTGGAAAAGGGTTTACAAATATTCGAGTTCGAGGCGACTCCAAACTTGTTTGCATGCAGGTATACATCTTTCCTTTCTTTCTTTTTTTCCTTTTTTTTTCTTTTCCTTTCTTTCTTTCCTTTTTTCCTGTGCACGGGGGATAGTGACAGATCTGTTTTCTGTTTTATGACTTCAAATTTAGTCCTTATATTATGATTGCTTGAGACAATGCTGTTACTCTTTAATAAGGGGTTTAGCTTTCTCGTTCAACAACACTATTTTATTATTTTCTGTCGTCATAATTGTATTGTAGACCTCTTTTTATTTTGAGAGAGATGAAAAAACTTCAATAATTTTTGAGAATATTGTTTTTTACTTTTAACATAGCATTGTAATTTGGACGCTATCTGTTGTGTCTTGATTACTTGTATATGACAGTTAAGACCTCGTTTGGTAGCCATTTTTTTCAAAATGCATTTTTCTCTCTCTTCTTTTTAACCACACATTATTTATTAAAATAATATTACACGCAAATCAAAAATTTTTCCTTATTTTTCAACCACACATTTCACATTAATTTACTATTCTAAAATGCATTTTTACATAAAAATGACTATCAAACACCCTCTTAATTATTACTAACTTTACCGCTGTTTAGTGAATCATTTTTACTCCATTTTTCATTGATCTGGTCCCTAATGTTTCATTTTCAGATTCAGGGTCTGTGGAAGGTAAAAAATCAAAACATTTCCAACTTGTTCAATGAGGCAACTAAACTCAAGGATAGGTTTCTTTCTTTCCAGATTGTTCATGTCCTTAGGGTAAGTGACACTTTTTTTCCCCTAATATATATGTAACTTTATCACATGCTAATCACGGTTATTCCACCATAAAACGTCTTTTTAAAGATCAGTTTTTGGGCAATAACATGAGATTTTTATTATCACAAAGGACTTGAACTCGGAGGCTGATGCTCAGGCGAACTTGGCTGTTGATCTTGCTGGTGAGAGTTTTTTCGCTCAACTGTAATTCCAATCTTGTCATTGAATAAGTAACTATCAATTTTTTTTTTCTCTTTAATACTGTAGAAGGCCAAGTTGAGGAGGAGACTGACGAATAGTTTCAGAGAGTACGCAGATGACTATCAAAACTGATTCAAGTAAATATCTTGGAATGCAATCAAGAATCTTTACGAGGAGGTTTTCTATTTTTTTCTTGTGAAATTCGTCTTTTGCATTTGATGTGGTTGCTGATATTAGTAGCATAATTTGCAGTTTTAATTGATACAGTTGCAGTTTTAAAATGTAATTTTGTCTATTTGCTTTTGATTTTAATCTATGGGAACAAGATTGTGTAATGTTATTAAATTATTTATTTAAGACTTTCACGGATCACTAAATTGTTAATTTTTGTGTATGTTTGGCATTGCTTTTTCAAGCTTATAACATGATCAAACATCATTTTATGAACAATCCACAATTTTTATCCATGCATTTGGAGGTTTTACTGTTAAAGGATAAGATCATACATCGAATAAAGATAAAAATAAGTATTATGGTGAAAAACGCTATCAGTTTGGTCCAAAATCCATATACACGCTTTAGGGGATGTTGAATGATGAGTATTGTCAATGCTTGGAGCCTTCAATTAGACAATTATGCCCACAACCGCTACCTTTTTTGTTCGCCGTCAGCCAATATGCCCACCTCGCCCTTGTGTTGATTGGTAAGATGACAAATGAAATCGGGTGTTTAAAGCAGGATTAGCGTGGCTTTTTAGAGTATTTACAAAAGATTTTTTATTTTGTATAAAAATAAAGAAACTTTTTGAAGATGCTCTTATAATATTATTGTATATAACCATAGTCCTTAAGCCGATGAACAAATTATTAATTATTGTCTTATAATTTATTGCGTCTTTTGACTTCTCGTTCATGCTAAATAATAAATTGGTAGCATTAAATGAATTCAAAAAGTTTAAAAACGTCAAAGTCTAATTGAAAAAAGATTTTTCTTTTCTTTTCTTTTCTTTCTCTCTTTTTAATTTTCTTTTTTTAAAACTAAGCATTTTCTGGAGGAAAAATAAAAATAAAAAATGATGGCACATTCTCGAGCCTGAGTCGCATGCCATTTTAATGTCTCTACTTTCTATGAATGTAATATGCTTAGGACTAAAGAGCTACAGAAGTGAACGTTTAAGTCATAAACGTAAAAGAAAATAAGTTTAAGACCGACTTACTATAAAAATCATAAATTAGGAACTTCAACGAAAATTTCCCTTTTATTAGGTTACCTCCGCAGGACACTAAAACCCTAAACCCGTATTTCTTTTTCCTCAAATGCACAGCCAACAGCCGACTTCTTTCCTCTCTTTTGTCTTCGTATTTAGCCATTTTTCTCTTTCTCTGAAATCTTTAGTTCTGCAAGGTAAGTTTGCAATTTAATTATTTTCAACTCGTTTAATTAATAATTATTAGTTTATTAGAATTTGGACCAAATAATGGTTATGGGTAATGGAATTTAGAAATTCATGTTCTGACAAGGGATTTTTCTGTGGGTTCTTCCGTGTATGCTTCGTACTATGCTTTGATGCAATGGTTTGTATTTCTGCGAACATTTAATTATTTAAATTGAGATAGATGACGTGAAATCTGTAGGAGGTAATATTTCAGATTATGGCTGAAATTTTTGGTTTTTATTATTGCCAGTTATTCCAATGTGTTTCCTTCTGCGTTTGTTTACCTGCGTTAATGATGTCTAGTTGTTTGTACTGAAATTTGACTTTTGTTCTTTCATAGTGATAAACAAAGGTTAAGACATGGTGCAATACAATTTTAAAAAGATTACGGTGGTTCCCACTGGGAAGGACTTTATTGATATCATTCTCTCCCGCACCCAGCGCCAGACACCGACTGTTGTTCACAAGGGATATGCAATCTCTCGTATCCGTCAGTTTTACATGCGCAAAGTGAAGTATACGCAGCAAAACTTTCATGATAAACTTTCCACCATTATTGAGGAGTTCCCTCGCCTTGATGATATCCACCCTTTCTATGGTGACCTTCTCCATGTTCTGTACAACAAAGACCATTTCAAGCTTGCCCTTGGCCAAATCAATACTGCTAGGAACCTGATTGGTAAGATTGCAAAGGACTATGTGAAATTGTTGAAGTATGGAGATTCCCTATATCGATGCAAGTCCTTGAAGGTTGCTGCACTAGGTCGTATGTGTACTGTTATCAAACGTGTTGGCCCTAGTTTGGCTTATCTTGAACAGATAAGACAACACATGGCGAGGCTTCCTTCAATTGATCCAAATACTCGGACAATTTTGATATGTGGGTACCCAAATGTTGGCAAGAGCTCATTTATTAATAAAATTACAAGGGCCGATGTGGATGTACAGCCTTATGCTTTCACCACAAAATCACTGTTTGTTGGTCACACTGACTACAAATATCTACGGTACCAAGTGATTGACACTCCAGGGATTCTGGACAGGCCTTTTGAGGATCGTAATATCATTGAAATGTGCAGTATTACTGCTCTTGCCCATTTAAGAGCTGCTGTATTGTTTTTCCTTGATATATCTGGATCTTGTGGGTACAGCATTGCTCAGCAGGCTGCTCTTTTCCACAGCATCAAGTCATTGTTTATGAACAAACCGTTGATTATAGTCTGCAATAAGACTGACTTACAGGCATTGGAAGGGATTTCGGAAGATGATATGAAGCTGGTCATGGAGATGAAAGCAGAAGCTATGAAAACTTTGATAGGTCAAGGGGGTGAGCCAACAAATGATGAGGGTGTGCTTTTGACTATGAGCACTTTGACTGAGGAGGGTGTAATTGCAGTAAAGAATGCAGCTTGTGAAAGGCTGTTGGATCAGAGGGTGGAATTAAAAATGAAGTCAAAAAAGTTGAATGACTGCCTTAACCGCTTTCATGTTGCAATGCCTAAGCCACGTGACCAGAAGGAAAGGCCACCCTGTATACCTGAGGCTGTCTTAGAAGCTAAAGCCAAGAAAGCTGAGCAAGCTGCTGAGAAACAGAAGAAGCTGGAGAAGGATCTCGAGAATGAGAATGGAGGTGCAGGTGTATACTCTGCGAGCTTGAGAAAGCATTATATTTTGGCTGATGATGAATGGAAAGAAGACATCATGCCTGAAATTCTTGATGGGCACAATGTATACGATTTTGTTGACCCTGATATATTACAAAGGCTTGAAGAATTGGAGAGAGAAGAAGGTATGCGCCAGGAACAAGAGGCAGATGATGATTTTGAGATGGATGGGGCTGAGCTGACCCCTGAAGAGCAAGAGGCACTGGCAGCAATTAGAAAGAAGAAAAGCTTGCTCATTCAACAGCACAGAATGAAGAAGAGCACTGCAGAGAGCCGGCCAACTGTACCCAGGAAATTTGACAAAGACAAACAGTTTACATCAGAAAGAATGGGGAGACAGTTATCAACTTTGGGACTTGATCCAACTCTGGCAATCAACCGTGCTCGTAGTAAGTCTAGGGGTCGTAAGAGGGAGAGATCAATTGACAGAGGTGATCAAAATGGTAATGATGACATGGACTTGGATGGTAACCAACCAAATAAGAAGCTGCGGTTGAGGACAAGATCCCAGTCAAGGTCGAGGTCAAAATCACGGCCACCGTATGAAGTGGTTCCGGGAGAGGGCTTGAAAGATTCTGCTCAAAAGAAGAAGGCAGTAAAACTGGCAGAAAAATCTCACAAGAACAGGAACAAAGATGCTCGTAAGGGAGAGGCAGATAGGGTCATTCCTACTCTCAGACCAAAACATTTATTCTCTGGGAAGCGGTCAACTGGGAAAACAGATAGACGCTAGTAACATTCAGGTATAAACAATAGAATATTGTTGCACATCAGGTTAATTTCTTCATATTTGTCCACACGCTAATCTTGCTTAGTGCCCAGAATAATGTTACCATCTTGTCCCCAACCCCCAAAAAGAGAAGATAAAACACCTACTCTCTCTTAAAATAAAGATGAATAGGAAGCAATATATTTGTATTCACCGTATTGGAATTTTAGAAGCCAGAATAGTGTGGAAATCACCACAAGGCTGAACAGTAAGTATTGGATTCGTTGCTTTTCTTTTTGTGGTACCCTTATCAGATCTTTCTATTGCCTAACTCATAGTATTATTGAGATGAATGATGAATGTCCATGCCTTGTATGTCATTAGTTCAACTTGTCTATCCCGAATTGCACAAGATATTATGTTGCCGTTGAACCTTTCTGTTGGTCCAGCAAACAGTGAATTCCTAAGCGCCCCATAATAGCTTGAGTGCACATTCAATCTATCAAATCTAATTTAATTCATTGCGTTGTCTGTTGCAGGGAGGATTCATACTTCCCAAACTATATACTGAACCCCTGAGCACTGTGGTGTTATCCTTTGCTGGAAGTTGGATCGAAAGCTTTGGAGGGCTCTATGTTGATTTGATCTTTTATGTTGTTCGTAATCCGATTTTGATATTTAGTTATTTGTTGGAATTACAATTGATAAGAATGCTTTGCTACTTTCTTTTTCTATTAATTATGCGGTTGCTTTTTATTTCTGCGTTTGGTTCGAGTTGATTTTGTATGCATGGTTGATTAAAAGCAATTAAGAAGTTAAAATCTGCAGCTGGCCGAGCTGATTGGTTTTAGTACTGCCTCTCAGCAAGTTAACAGCTGCATATATTGAAATTCAGTGGCACAAATACCAGCTCTTGCCTCTTATAGTTTGAGGAGTTAGATAGACAGTGCCATATATTGAATCCAGTCGAGTTGGGTGTGATGATTTTATGGCCAAATGTACCCTATGGTGTCGTCCTTTATTGCCTATTGATCATCTCCACTGAAATAACATTAATTGTTAGATTAGTTTTCTTTTTCTTGGACCAGAGGAGATAATGTGCATATTAAGGACTAACCTTTTTATTATGAATAATGCAATTGGTAGTTAGAGACTACAGTAGTCTTACTTGACATCTTATGTAGTAGTTTGTTATTCGAGGCATTGATATTTTATGTATCTCAAGTAACAAATTAATGCCTTAATAATAAATTGTCACATAAGATGATTATTGCAGTCATTGACTATGAATGAATAATTAGTATAACTCTTATTATTTTGCCTCTTTATAAATTTTTAGACGATAAATATGTGTTATATGTCAAGAAATTTAGAGGGGAAGGAAAACATTTGGTTTCAAATAAATTTGATTGGGAAAATATCCTTTATTGATATAAATATGCTTTCGTTTGGTAGAAGTTTTTCACCTCAAAAAATTAATTTTTTGATCATTAATTTACGATTTAAACTGTCATTTTTTATTTTTTTACTCATAGGTGAAATTCACTTTCATCTTTAATGGTTAAAAAATTAATTATCATAATTACTATCAAATGAACCCTAAATTTATTAACCTCTCTGTTACAAAAATGAAAATTTGTTAACAAGTTATTTATTTAGAGTTTTATCATACGCTACTTTCAACCAATAGACGGAAGTGGGACGCGCAATAGTAATCTTGACCGTTAAATCGCAACACGGGGCCCTATAATTATAACCGCCTTGGAGCTGAAGAAATGCACAGAACTGAAAGAGAAATGAGGAGGGAGGATATCAAAACTTCGAAATTGTTCTCAAATTGGTAATCTATCAGTAATAATTCAAGTCAGACGTAAACGAACGGTAGAATGAGGGTGGTGAGGCGATCTGTACTGACAATGACTGCGTTGAGTGGTAGGAATTGGGATTTGATTTCGAAATCGTTGATTCCTCGCTGCTTTTCCACTCCTGCTTCATCGCCACAGTTACCAGACAATTGCGCTGCGGCGACTGATGATCTGCTGCTTGATGAATCAAAAGTTTCTGCTACGACCGGGGCTGAGATGTTACCCACGCTGCTCCGTCCTCGCGTTGTTGTATACGACGGCGTCTGTCATCTCTGCCACACTGGTACTCTCTCTCTCTCTCTCTCTCTCTCTCTCTCTCTCTCTCTCTGTACATGTATTTATATGCTTTGGAATAATCCAAGCCTAAAATTGGATTTTTTTCCCCTCATTTCGTACTTGTGTTGGTGTTATGTGGTATGTAGGTACTTGTTTTAATGCTTTGAAATAATTTGAATCTAAAATACGATATCTGTACTTAGTGGGGAGATTATTAGTTTGTGTTTGGTTTAATGTTATAGTCTTATAGAAAAAATTTTAGAAGTGCACTGTTGATGTTATTTTCATTGTCATGATCGAAGAAGCTGCTCAATTTTTACATAGCGATTGTTTGTTTTCTTGTCTTTTCACTTGGAGTAAAGTGATTACATTAAGAGAAGGAAGCTTGAGTGAGATAGGGAAATTGAAAGTGGAAAAGAAAAATACATTACTAGACATATTGATCCCAAAGACGAAGCAAGATTGAGATTAATGACAATTATGAAATATTCAAGATTGCACCACGAAAACAAGATTAAAGCAAAGTAGAAAAAGAGAAACTAAGCAGATGAACGATGAAATTTATTAAATCAACAATATGGAGAGAATAATAGAGGACAACAATAATGCTTCATCTAAAACTGATGAAGGAGTCTCTAATTTATAGGCCGCGTTCATAAACTTAATGGAGTCCTAAAAGGTAAAAATATATATATATATATTAGAATTAGGTTAAATTGCATTAAAAAAAAAAAAAAAATCTTTAATGTAATTTGATTTCTTTCCAAATTCAAGTCAAACGTGATTTTCCAAGATTTCAACCCAATTTTGAGACATTAAACCTAACAAGACTTTCAAGACAAAGGTCTGTCATCAATGTAAATTGTTTAAATTATGAATTGCTGGGTAATGTAATGGGATGAATTAAGTACATAAATTAGCAGTTGAATAAATTTTTATATTATAATGAGCTCATCTGTTATTATAAATTAGAGATTCTTGTAAGTGCTATTATTAATCTGAGTTATTTATCAGCGAAAGTAATCATAGTTCATGCAATCAAAGGAACGGTAAACTGGATCTCCGTTGGTTTGTCCGTCTACTGACTTGCTGTCAAGGCCTGCCCTATCAAGAAAGACTCTGGAATGGTTGTTTCGTGCTTTAGGGAATTAGGTAACAAAGGATCCATGGGGCGTAGAAGGAAGATTCTCATGGAGAAGAGTGAGAGCAGTACTCACGTGTTGTGATTAGTACTGAGAAGTCAATGCTTATTGCCTAGTAATTTGATTAATGCTCTTGTGATTGCAATGTCTTGGCTCTGAAGTTCTCTTATTCTTTTACAGAAGTTCAGTTATCACATGCCAAATTAATAGAAATCGGTTCTTGCGCTACTTGTGTAAATTTAATATGTGATGAAGTTAAAAACTATGAGTTATTATCTCGTATTTGATGAAGCCTTACATTAGTTTGACAAAAACAGTGGTCCTCCATTTTAACAACTCCTGCTCGCTTGTTAATTGTTATTGTTGTTATTTTGCTATTTCGCACCTAAGACCTTGCCCTGCATGCTATAAACGTGCAGGAGTGAAGTGGGTAATTAAGGCCGACAAGGATAAGAAAATCAAGTTCTGTTGTCTACAATCGAAAGCTGCCGAGCCTTACATGAGAGCGTGCGGTGTTGAAAAAGAGGATGTTCTCCGTCGCTTTCTCTTCATTGAAGGTCCAGGTTTATACCACCAAGGCTCTACTGGTACTTCATTTCTTCTCATTCTTGTTCACAATTAATGGATCTTACAATGGCATATTGTTAAAACATGTTCATTTGATGAACTGCATTGCAGAATGAAATACTATCATGCAGATAAAATTGTTGATGAAATGGTGAATATAATGCCTTTTAAATTGATTTGTGTGATTTAGCTTCTATTTGGCTTGTTTGATGTACTGTTCCCGTCTTGAAGTATGTTTTTTCCTTTCTTTGTGAAATTGTTTTCTTTCACTTTGGAGTTTCACTTTATCAGTCTTTCTTCAATCCTTTGAACCATGGAGAGGGTTGTAACATATTGAATAAATTTAGATTATTCGAGGAAACTATCATCGTACCTATTGTAAACCATATAGAGGGAGTAGACAGTTGTTTTTTGGGTTCTCACACATTCTGAAATTCCAAAAAAGCTTCAAAATGTTGCCCATTATTCTGGCTATCATTCATTCAAATTTCATTGAATGTATATTAACGTCATTCATCAAAGCACTCATTGTACTTGAACGGACAAGGGATGACAACCACATATAAGATCAACATGCC